CTGAACCCACACTTGTGGCTTCCAACCAACCAAAAGACAGGCATATGAACTGAACATTTACACTAGGTAGATACACTCACTGGAGAGATCAATCATGGGAGAATAAAAGGCTATGCATGCACAGTTAGACAGCTCAGGGAGCAGGATTACATGGGAAGGGAGAACACAGGGAAGAAGTAACTATGGGGAGGAAGTGGGAGGGAATCTGTTGCATTGTGGGAAATTATAGTCAATGTCATGAGAAAAGTGTATGTGAGCTGCTTTATGGAAAATGAATTTGCTACATAAATTTTCACCCAAATCACAATAAAAATTTAAAAGAAAAAAAAATTCCTTGAGTCAAATGAAAATGAAATCATAAACTACCAAAATCTTTGGGACATCACAAAAACTGTGATCAGAGGGTAATTTACAGCAATACATGCACACATAAAAAAGAAGAAAGAGACAAAATCCACACAGTAATCCAATTATCCCCCCAAAAATTGAAAAAGAACAGCAAAAATATTCTATAGTCACCAGAGGAAAATAAATAATAAAGATTTGAGCAGAAATAAAGAAACAGAAAATGCAGAGGCAAGAGAAAAACATGGCTAGAGGTCAGTTGTTTGAAAAGATTAATAAAATCAACAAAACACTGGCCAGTTTAACAAAGGAAAAGAAGGGGAAGATACAAATAGCATGAATAAGAAATGAAAGAGTGACATCTCAATAGCACCAATATAAATAAAAAGAATAATACCAGGGTCTATGAAGAACTGTACTCCAACAACTTGAAAACCTAGGAAAAATGGAAGGAGTTCTACAAACATAGTACTTACCTAAAGAAACACAGAATGAGGTAGAAAACTTGAACAGACTTATAACAACAACAACAACAAAAAATGAACAGGTGAAAAAAAAAAATTACCAACAAAAAATAGTCCCTGCCCAAACGGTTCTCTAGTGGAGAATGCTACTAATCATTCAGGGAAGAACTGACACCTATCCTACTCAAACTATTCCAGAACATAGAAAAAGATGGAATCTTCCCAAATTCATTTTATGAAGCAAGCATAATCCTAATACCTAAACCAGGCAAAAACACCACTAAGAAAAAAACTGCAAACCAATATTACTCATTAATATAGATGCAAAAATCTTGAACAAAATTCTAGCCAACAGACTCCAACACCCTATGAAAAAAATAATACATTATAACCAAGTGGGAGTCATACAAGGTATGCAAGTATGGTTCACCTTTAGAGAAACAATCAACGTAATCCATCACATAAGTAAACTATATGGAAATAATAACATGATCATGTCAATAGATGCATAAAAATATTAATAAAATTCAACATTCATTCCTGATAAAAACTCTCAGAAAAATATCAATAGAAGGGAAATTGCTCAACATATTAAAGAGCGTATATGTGAAACCAACAGCCAACATTATTCTCAATGGAGAGAGACTGAAACCATTCCCCTTGCAAACAGGAACTAGACAAGGATGCCCTCTATCACCATTTCTATTCAGCATTGTATTGGAAGTCCTAGCCAGGACAATAAGACAAAGAAGGCAAATCAAAGGCATCTAAATTGGTAAGGGAGAAGTAAAACTATCCCTATTTCCAAATGATGTGATATTATACATAGAAAACCCAAGAGACTGAGCAATAAAAGTACTGGAATATATGGAATGATTTAGCATAGTAGTAAGACACAAGATCAACATAAAAAATAAAATAAAATAAAAATCAGTTGGTTTCATCTACAACAGGAAAGAGGTCTCTGAAAAGGAAATAAGGAAATCAATACGATTTACAAAGCTAACAAAAATATAAAATACTTGGGAATAAACCTACCAGGAATACAAAAGAGTTATACAAAAAAATCTAAAAAATACTACTGTAAGAAACTCTAAGAGATCTACATAAAGGGAAACATATACTATGCTCATGGATAGGAACATTGAACACTGTGAAAATAATGAATACTCCTCAAAACAATCAATATATCTGATATAATCAAAATCCAGGTTCTGTCACCATTCTTTAAGTACATGGAAACACCAATTACTAATTTTAGATGGAAAGCAAAGAGACCTCATATAAGCAAAGCACAAGTAAAGAAGCATGACAGACACAGAGAGCAGTGGAACAGAACTGAGAACCGAGAAACAGATCCATCGGCCCTTGGTCAGCTGATCTTTCACAAAGGGTCAAAATTAAGTAAATGGGGAAGAGACTATCTTAAATGGTTTTGTCAAAGCTACAAATCCATTTGCAGAAAATGAAACAAGATCCATACCTCATACCATACACAAAATAAACTCCAGATGGGTCAAATATCATTACAAATTATGGATAAAATTGAGAAGAAAGGGAATTTCAGAACACTTAATTGTGCATATGAGGAACAGTGCATAGACCAGGAGGCTGTCATTTTAACAGAGCAAAGGGATACTGCAAGTTTAAAATCATGATGGGATTGCATCAGGGTTGTATCCTTTCACCATACTTATTCAATCTGTATGCTGAGCAAATAATCTCAGAAGCTGGACTAAATGAAGAAGAACACGGCATCAGGAAGAAGGCTCTTTAACAACCTGCAATACACAGATGACACAATTTTGCTTACTGAAAGTGAGGATGACTTGAAGCACTTACTGATGAAGATTGAAGACTAGTCTGCTGTATGGATTACACCTCAATGTTGTTGTTGTTGTTTTTTTGCCGTCGAGTCGGCCCCGACTCATAGCGACCCCTCCTTGAGTTTCCGAGGCAGTATCACTATGGAAGTAGGATTGCCCAACCTTCCTTCTCAGGAGTGGCTGGTGGGTTTGAACCGCCAGCCTTCTGGTGAGCAGTCAAGTGCCTTAGGCACTATGCTACCAGAGCCCCCACACCTCAATATAAAGAAAAAAAAAAAAAGTCACAACTGGTCCAATAAACAGTTTCACAATGGATGGAGAAAGGATTGAAGTTGTCAAGGACTTCATATTACTTGGTTCTACAATGAACACCAATGGAAGCAGCAGTCAAGACATCAGATGAGATATCGCATTGGACATATCTGCTGCAAAAGACCTCTTTCAAGTTTTGAAGAGCAAAGATGTCTCCTTGAAGACTAAGGTGTGGCTAACCCAAGCCATGCTATTTTCAGTCACCTCATATGCGTGTGAATTGGACAATGAATAAGAAAGACCAAAGAAGAGTTGATGCCTTTTTGTTGTGGTGTTGGTGAAGAATACTGAGAATACCATGGACTGCTAAAAGAAATAACAAATCAATCCTGGAAGAAGTGCAGTCAGAAGTGAGAATGACCAGACTTCATCTCACCTGCTTTGGTCATATTGTCAGAAGGGAACATTCCCTGCAGAAGAATATTATGCTTGGTAAAGTGGAGGGTCAATGAAAAAGGGGAAAGCCCTCAACAAGATGGATTGACACAGTGGCTGCAACAATGTGCTGAGGTATAACAAGGATCATAAGGCTCCCACGGGACAGGGCAGTGTTTCATTCTGTTGCACATAGAGTTGCTATGAGTCACAGATGACTGGACAGCACCTAACAACAACCATAAGACTTTAGTGTTGCTTTATTTTTTTTTATTTTGTTTAACTGCAACAAAATATAGCTGAATTAATGTCTTTCACCCTAACATGGCAATTTTAAGTGGAGCTCAATAGAAGTATACTTGTTTCAATGAACATAAAATGGATTTTCAGGGAAAAAAAAAAAAAGTTTTCTTCTATCATAAAAACTAAAGGAAGAGACTCAGTGTGCATAAGGAAACTCTAACTTAGAGAACAGTTTAGGAAGTGTAGTTTGGTGTCCAAATTTAGAAAGTATTAAAAAGGGAAGAAAGAAAAAAATAAATGTGGGAAAGCCCTTCTACAGCTAACACAAAATAATGGTTGTGCAGCAGGGAAAATACAAAGAAACAGGCAGGCATGAGAAATTTGAAGAAAGAACTGATGAATTTGGAACATAATGGGATATGAAGAATAAAGGAGTTTTAATGTGGTGATCTTTTCTTTGATTCACTATAGAAGTGTAAAAACCAACTAATGTTGAAAAGTTAGATAAAAGAAACATTGCTGATTAAAACTCATAAATCAGTTATGTTGAGTCTCATACAAGGAAAATATTTAAAAGTAAGGTTTTATCTGTTCTAAGATTCTTAAATGCTAAAATAATTTAATGTGGTTTATTTTGGAGTTTTGAGTTCTATGTTGATGGATCTGTTCTGTTAGAGGGATTTTGTCCCTAATATCTCATTTATACTACCTTAACTTTTATTATTATTACAGCACGGTTAACATTTTTATAATACATTGTTATTTCATATTTTAATCAGAAATTATTTTGCACATTAAAAATTTCTTTATAGAAACAAGTTTCTATATTAAAAATGAGCAAAATAATTAAAGAATTATTGAAAAAAAACCAAACTCACTGCCATCAAGTTGGATCCAACTCAGCAACCCCTCCTTGGGTTTCTGAGGCAGTACTACTATGGAAGTAGATTGCCCAATCTTCCTTTCTAGGAGTGGCTGGTGGGTTTGAACCATGAGCCTTCTGGTTAGCAGTCAAATGTCTTAGGCGCTATGCCACCAGAGCTCCTCGTAAGGTGTTTAATAATATATAAATGTTGCAGATAGTAGTGGAGAACTTTTGAAAAAAATATTAGAAATAAATTAATTTTGTCTCTAAATAAATTAAAGCTTATTCTGTTTTGCAAGTGAATGTACTAGTCTATAACACAGGTGTTCTATTTAGGTAATAACCCTAGCCAGTGGAAATGTGCCTCACCACACGATCCACACACAGCCAGTGGGAAAGCAATTTGACAGAGTGGATGATTTTTTCATTGCTACCACAACACTCATCATCAACCATGTGAGGTAAGTGTTAACATGTATGATCAACGTTGAGATTGGTCTCCAGTTGTAATGAATAACTACATGGCATCAAAAAATAAGTATTTGTTTTTTTTATAAAACAAACACATACAGGTGTATATGACTTAGCTTCATTTCATGTATTTGATGAACCTTTATTTATCAACTTGATATTTTCTTACTAATGAATTTCCCAGAACACATTTCTCCATATCCCTATGAGAAAAGGGCATTTATAAAGCTGCAGTTGTGCTTGTTATCAATTCAACAATACTTTTTTTGTGTGTGAATTACCATTGGAGTTCTTCATACTAGGTAGGCTCTTTAAAATATTGATGTTTTCTGATTGACTTCTTAAAATGAGATGTCATTTACATATAATTTCATTATTTTGACATAGACATTTATTCTATATATTATTATAAATCCTATATCAACTGGTGCCAATATTAAAATTAACAAAGAATTTTATTAAGAAATATAGTACTTGAAAAAAGACTGTCTGGGGTTTGCATTGTATGTTTGAGAAAACATGTTAACATGTTCTATCTATCCATATATTTACAAAAGGTGACAAATGTAATATAACTTTCTAATAACATCAATCTAAAGTTTCATAGAAGCTTTTTAAAAAATGCTTAAAGGGAGAAAAATTTTGATATGTCATGTCATCTAATACTATGTATGTGTTTTTAATTGATTGAACAAATTTAAAAATATTTTCTTTGCAATGATAAAAATCAATTTCAAACAAACTAATAATTTATCTTGTTCATCAAGTTAATTCTGGAAAGTAGACTGCTCTAGTATGTGATATGTGCAATCATTTGATCTTTGTCTATATTATTTTTCTTGTAGTAAAATGAAAATTATATCATGTAAACAAAAAGGAAGCTTAGAAGTCAGAATTCTGTTAAATTCTGCAGAACTTAAATTTAACAGAATTTTGAATTCAACAAAATCCAATTTTCAAAAATAAAAAGAGAAATTGATAAACCAGAGTTTCAGTTCACAAAGATACCATAAACTGTGCCTTGGTCTGCCATGATTTTGATGTTTTTGTCAAAAAAATAAGTATTATTTTAGGAATATGCTTAGCAATAAAGTGATTGAAAATATGAAATTCTGTCAAAATTGTTACATGTTCTTATGGTAAATAGTTAGCACTTGGCACTGTAGAATATTTGAAAACTATTTCCATAAATCTAATCTTGAGGCCCTGACTTCAAGCACCATACCGGTTCGAAGGCTAAAGAATTCAACCTGAGAACTAAAAATAGTACTATCTGAGATGGTGCTGTGTAGTAAATTACATAGTATGGCTTTTCTAGCCATATGTCTTTGTAAACTCTACAGTGGAATTTGCCATGAACAAATGAGTAGCTCCTGATTGTTAAAATTATCCACCTGGGGTATTTCTGTTTAGGATGGCATGAAGCAATCTTCTGGGAAGTTCCCTCTCTCTCAAGTGTATAGAATTCTGATGTTGGATTGGTTAGTTTGGCCACTCTGCCAGGCTCTAAAGGAACTCTCCTAGAGGCAGAGGAATCTCTCTGACTGCTGGCTGAGAAAGATGTGCTGCTGAGAGAAATGTGCTCCTGAGAGACATGCACTTGCTGAGAGAGAAACATGTGCTGCTGAGAGAGAGTCTGCTAGCTGCTAAGTGAGACAGCTGGCTGCAAGAGACTGAGTGCATTTCTGAACTTGAATTGTAGCCTGTTGCTTCCCTAATAAACCCCATAATCTGTGAGTTCTGTGTGGCCACTGCAGTGAATTATTGAACCCAGCAGAGAGGTGGTGGGTGCTGTGGGAGGAACGGTTGGTGGCGGGGTTGGTGAAAGGGGTGGAGGGAGGCAGCATGTCTGGCCTCACAGGGATCAGCCTTGGGCTACTGATGAAGATTGTCTTCCTCTTGCACAATTAGAGGAAGTTAAAGATGTGGTCTCCTTGCCCCTTTGGCAGATGGAAATTAAATAAGAAAAAAAAAATGTATATTTACCTGATGAGGATAAACTTTCAAATAATTGTCAAAATAATTGTCATTGGGTTTATGGTTAATCAATACTTTTGTACCTTTCAATAATTATTTTCAAGTTGTTGACAAACTATTAGTAATCAATTATTATATATGTAATTAGTCTCTTATTACTGTGCTTACTGTACTATTATTATGTTTGCTTATGTATTTTATAAAAGCTTAATACAATTAAAAAAATTGGTGTCTATGAAACTATTAGTCTCTGAATGTCCCAAATGGTTAAGTACTGGACTACTAACAGAGAGTTTGGTAGTTCAAACTCATCCAAAGGTACCTCAGAAGTAAGACATGGTGATCTGCTTTGAAAGTTTCCAGACTTTATAACCCTATGGAGCAGTCCTACTCTTCACCCTTTGGTTTGACATGAATAGGAATTGCCATGATATAACACTATTTTATTTGAACCAAACCAAAAAGCCAAACTTACTGCCGTTGAGTCAGATCCGACTCATAACGACCCTTCCTTGGGTCTCCAAGATGGTTTTTCCACAATACGTACATTATTATGTTAACATATATCTACCAAGGACAAGAGTATATATTGATGCAACAAATTCTAGATGTGATTCTGTGTTCATATATAATTGATGTACTTCTGTGACATAGAATCATTTTTAAGACTGAGTGATTACTGTGTAGATGGACTTGGAGCTAATTATAATAACATCCAAATAATGTGTACAAAGGCAAAATTATATAATTTATTCTGTATGAGAAAGACTAAAAGTATAATTGAGGGTATTTTTAGACTTTTTTATCCCTTTGACCCCTGATGACTCAGTGGTTAAGCACTGGACTGCTAACTGGAAAGTCAGCAGTTTGAACCCAGCAGACACTCCTTGGGAAATAGGTGTGACAATTTGCCTCTTTAAAGATTTACAGCATCTGAAATCCTTTGTGGGCAGTTCTGCTCTGTCCTAGAGGATCACTATGAGTTGGAATCAACTCAATGGCAATGGATATAAGTTTTGTGTAGGCATTTATAATGAAACGCAGGATAGTTTGACAAAACTTCTAAAAGTGTTAAATTAAAGTCATGCTATCTACATAAAAATTCCAACTTTTATGAACACTTTTGTGATTTTCAAATTCCCCAAATTGCATCTTAAAATAACTATTCCTATTCATACAGTGAATGGTAAGAGTAAAAATTAAAATACATTTCCAAAATGAAATTATGCAAAGCATTCAGACATAATTAGAGTTTATTTCACATCAGGAGAATTTGAGGGACAAATATGTTTTATTATTCCTCTTATGAATTTCATGTAACATACTGAAAAAAGGAACTCACTGCCACTAAGTCAATTCCAAGTCATAGAGACGCCCATTGAGTTTCCAAGGCTGTAAATCTTTCGGGAAGCAGGTTACCTCATCTTTCTTCCTTAGAGATGCTGGTGAGTTAAAGCCACCAATGTTTTGATTAGCAGCCAAATTCCTTAACCACTGCACTACCAAAGCTACTTTCATGTAACATAGTTTTAACTAAATTTGCTTTTTTTATTATGCATTACTGACACAGCTGATATTTTTATGTGTTTTTTCAGAAATTGAGATTAGATTCTGACTGTTTTACTCCATACATATTACTATGCCAGGAAGTGAATCTGAAGGACACATATTATGTGCTTAATTAATAACAGTTTCCTTCCTCTGCCCTGCATCACCATAATCAGACTGTCTTTCAGATTGCTACTCCTTATTTCCAATAATTTCTGTCTCTCATATTTGAAAATTCCCTGGACAGCTTCCAGGATTTTGCATTCTTGGTACCTAGAAACCAGTAGGCATTTAATTAATTAACTAATTAACCATAGGAATGGAAGCAAAGAAAGTGCTACAGTGTATCTTAAACCAGATTATATAGTACTGAGGGATGTGCTATATTCTTTCTCTATGCACTGGGTTGCTCAGTTTTTAATATCATACTAGTAATATGGAAAGTGCTGCATTACTAATAGAGGGACTTGTGCAGTAAATAGGAAATTACATTTACAGTCAGATAAATCTAAGCCTGATTCCCAACCATCATGATTCACCATTGGGTATTGTAAATCCAGCCAACTTTATTTATTCTAAGGACTGGAATAAAAAAAAAAAAAATGTCTGAACATTAATTTTTCAAATTAGTCAAAATTTTGTTTAAAATTTCTGTCTATGCACAGAATTTTACAGGTGTTTCTTTTTTAATCATTTTTTAAGGTGAACCAGGGCTGAGGAATTTAAAAATATAAAAATAACTTTATAAATAACTGAAATGTATAGTTTTAAGAAATCTCATGAATCTTCACAAAATTAAATTGTTCACTTATAAAAAATCTTTGAAACCCTCAGGATTGTAAAATTTCTTGAGAGATTAATTAGCGTTCCTTCTGAGTTGCCTTTGGGATTTGAATTTCAGGGAAATAATTATCATTTTGAAAATATCCAAGGATCTATGGCAACCACATTTTTCTCATCTGAATCTTACTCAATTTCCCTAACAATACAGTCACGATCATACACAAACATTGCTATTCAGTCCTAAAGAAGAATAGTTTATTAGTGAAAGTGTCTCTTTGTATGTGAGAATTTTGAAGACCGTGTTAGTTCTACTCATTCAAAAGATACTTATACTTCTGATTTATTAAATTTATTTCTTGACATTAACTTAGTATATGAACTAATAATGTATTTTCTAATTATTCTTAAGTATATTATATAGATATATGTTTTAGCAGGGTTTTTTTAGTCTTTTACATTATTTAGATGTTTACAAGAAAATACTATGAAAAAAATTTTAATACACACAAATGTGAATTGTTAATTCCTCTATTTGTTATGGGAAAATTTCAATAACTTGAAATGTAGTTAATAACATTGAGATAATTTTCTAGATGCTTATTGAAAATATATTGAATTGGGGAGTTCTAGCAAAATAGTAGAATAGGCAGACAAGTTACACAGACCCTCTGCAAGAAAGCAA